AGAAGACGACATATATACGAGTATTGCTAGTAGCAATTATGACATTGGAGCAAGATGTTTTGATTCGTAGTATCGTTTATATTTTCTAATAATAATTTTTGAGAGACGATGAAATATTTGCCTTTTATGTTTGTTATTAACATCTATAATCATTTTCGTTAAATTGCGCAAAAAATTGATAACAATTAAATGGCATTGCAAAATCCTTATTTCACATATAAATATTACACAACTTGGAAAAAAAATTATAAATATTACATGCGAAATAAAAGATAAATATTATAAATATTAACTATGAAAGAAAAATATTATACTAATTGTGAGATTTTGGGAGGTTGGGACGATATGGGATTGAAATTACTAGATGGGGTGGGGTGGGGTAGCAAATCACAAAGTTGAAAAAGTTGAAAAGTTGGGAAATGAAGTGACGGTTTAGGCAATTTGAATTGGTATTGGAGAGAGAAAAAAATCAAATTAACCATTTATTTTAATTTAGCCATGTGGTATGTCACATCAGTAGTGGGCATATTGTTCTCCAGCCCACTGGGGGCAGGAGAACACTCATGTATATACAAAACGGAAAACCTTATCATACTTAGGACACAATTCCCCTTGTAATCAAGAGAGCGATCTGTCTATGAAACGGAGTCGTATATGACGCTAACCTCGAGTCATCCTGCCTTGTAAATTTACCTAGAAAAAGAATAGAGAGAGAAGAAGAAGAATCAAATCGTTCCTATCGATTATACCAACTTTTTAAACAATTGGAACGTATAGCAACTACAAATTTCTATCTTTAAATTTAACCTTATACGAAGTTCGAAATTCTTTATTTCATGTTTTCATGTTAGTATAATAATAATTTGGGTTAATCCATTTGTACATAATAGATTACCCCCTCTCACATAATGCGCGAGGCCCGCGTGTATTTAAAAATTCTGATAATGTGGTCCACATCCCCATTGTGAGTAGTAGCTAAAAGATTCGATAAAAATATTCGATACTTGTAGCATGATCCTAATAATTTATTGATAGAGTATATATACTCACGTCGACTAGTACAATCAAATGATGAAACTTGAATAAGATAACTGTGGAAATCTCAAACATAATGAAGCGGATATGTTGACCAACATATCTCTTTTAGACAAAATTTGAGCTGTGCACTTGTTAATAGATGATTTTTTGATGGACTTTAGCGAACATATAAGTTATATAGCATATATTGATGTAATCCTTCAAAAACATCTAAATTTCATAAATTCTATATTGTTCTTTGTTCTTGTTAGGGTTCTTTAATTTTAAGCTTATTGATTAACCCTCTAACTATTTGCCATTGTTTTCCCCATGAAAAATCTCACAATCTGATCTGGGCAAGTATCGTTTTAGAAAAGCAATTGATCAAGTGTTCAAGTCATTCTTTCTTCACAAGTTTATTTGTCATTTGGAGTTTCTCTACATTCTTGATCTAAATTAACACATGTTCCTAAATCCGGAGAGACTCGGGAATTAGGACCGAGAGAAAGAAAAGGCAAGAAGACAAACTTATTTGCTAGGTTCACATATTGAAAGCTCTATCCTACTGACATTATGATCTCTACATCAATACCCATTGATAAGGAAAATTTTTGGTAGCAATTGCAAATAATTACTAAGTTGATGAGGAAGGTACTATAATTTTTTTTACTGAAAATTTACAAAATATACCATTTCTTTAGGATGTATTTACAATTTTATATACCGTATCCACTATATTTACACCATACATCTTACATTTTAAAGTATGATTAAAAAAAATCAACTTTTGCTAAAATAGTTCCAAATTTTCCATTAAGAATACTAAATAGATCAAAATATCCATAATTGAAATTAGAAAATCACAGTGTGTATTACATTACATAACACTTTACATACCAATTTTTTTTAACTACTATTTTATTCCAAAATTTCAATTGCTATTTTATTTTCATCTAAAAAATAATATAATTTTGCTTGTCAATTAACCATACTTCCATAAATTAGTGTGTCAAGTCATCTCACTGCATCAGTTCGTTTTTCATTTCCATTTTTACACAAAATTAAATGATTTTATTAGTTATATTTATAGATTCTCACTTTTGTCGAACTTTCTCTTAGAAAAGATAAAAATCTTCTGCAATAGATACTGTTGATTTAAAAAATAGAAACATGTGACTAAGAAAACTAGATGAATCAAGGTTCGAGGACTGACCGGGCGATGAAGTCAGACCAGCCTTTCGATTGCTGCGTGATACCCGCTGGACCGAAGGAAGGCGCTCCTTTGAAACGAACATTCAAGTTATTAATTTTCCCGAATTTCAGTTGGGTTTTTCCCCTTTCGGGAAATTTTGAGTGGGTTTGAAAGTCAAAATTTGAAGTAAAGAGAAAGAGAGTGTAAGCCCGACATTATTTTAATCAGAAAATGCTTTTTGATTGGAGTTGAGTAATATTTCCAAGAGTTCCAATCAGGCGTATGCTTCGTGTCTAAGATAACTTTTTCGAAAGTAGAAATTTGGATATTTGATTTCAATTCTTTTTCAGTCGTGGAAAAGGTCCTACTTATAGACTTTTAATGAGCTTTATTGTCATTTTCATGAATCGACATTCCTTAATCATTGTGTTGAAAGCTATAATTAGTCCAATTTTCAAGGTTTTGTTATGTTTTGTGCTTTGTGACACTTGTCAAGCAATTCTACTTGCCTGCATGCATGCATTTTTTTGTTGCTTGAAATCACGGTCGATCTTGTCAGAGTTCGCACTTAAAGGTTTCTGTGTCTAAGGACGAGCTCACACCTTTTAATTTTGTTGTTGGTCTAGGCTTCAAAACATTTCTAAGCTAGGTGATTGAAGCTTTGTGTAATACAATAATTGGAAGATCTTTTGTGGCCGAAGCACATTTTTGGTTCAATACGCCTTGGGTACTGAGGCAAAAATATTCATCCACTGACATGTGGGCGCATGTGGGACCCTTTTGTTGCTAACATGACATTCAGGTGGACAATAATTATTTTAGTACGTAACATTAGTCTCCCAATTTCATGTTTCATATGTGAAATGAAGGATTTTGATGTATATTACTACCAATGCTGAAATCTTTAAATTGCTGAGTTTAGACCAATGCCCGACTCATCCTGTTTTTTATTTTATTTCTTGTTTTTTGAAGTATTACATTCTGTAGATGTCAAAGCAAAATAAATGGGTTTATTCTTCGTCGAGGCATTTGCATTTATATTGAAAAATAAATCCGTTGTGGTCACTTTGATTATATAATCTTTAGATCCCCATATGCAATATATATTTTCATTTCAGAACCATTTATATGGATGTTCTTTCAATCTCTAAGAAATATGTTAATACAATTTAAAAAAGTTATGTGTATTCTGAATTCTTAGAGTTTCTCCGAGAGTCTCTCTATTTTTGAAAAGTATATTTTAAAATTTAGAAAGTATATATAAATTTAAAGAGAAAAATTTCTCAAGTAATTCAACAGACTCATTATATTTAACACTTGATTTTACTGCGATTCCATAGCTTTTATTTTCACTAGTTTGCCTCCAAATTATTATATTGTTTTACTCCATAGAGAGTGTGCTTTCCAAATTTGAGATCCAAACTAACTCTTTATTCTAGAATGTTAAAGAGTTAAACTCACTCTTTATTTTAAAATATTAATTAGAAGAGTCTCTTAAAATATAATTTGAAAGAAATATGAATTCACGTTCCAAATACTTTTCCTAAATCTTTCTGCGAATCAATCCGTCGAAGAACTATAGATAAATAGCGATCGCAATACATTTATCTAAACCATTAGTCCACCAACCATGGACTCGTCTTCACTAGGATGGCTATCAGTGACCGCTGGCTTCCAACTAATAACAGA